CTTTGCTGGACCCTCTCCAGCAGTTCCCTGTCCTTCCTGACCCGGGGAGCCCCGAACTGGACACAGTGCTCCAGACGCTGCCTCACCAGGGCAGAGTAGAGGGGAATATAAAGAGGGAAATAAAAATCTAGAACTTTGACTGACTAAAAGAGAGGTATTAGTCTCCCAGTTCTATAAAATCCTCATGCCAGTAAACAATTTTAAATCATTTAGTTTAGGGTTAACATTCTAGGGCTAATTCTTTGGGGGATGGCTACATTTCGTGTGTTAATCTAAATACCTTCTTGATCTTCAAAAGTTACAAATGCAACTCCTTTTTTCATTGTTGGATACACTACTTCTTCCACATCTCCCCCGTTATTCTTCGACATTTGGAAGTGAATCATCAGTATATCCGCCATGACATCATCGTGCAGAAGGCCATCTGGAACACCAGCGATGACAACTGTCCTTGCTGATTTAGCAGCTTGTCCTGTTGCCTGTGTACAGAGACATGGCACACTGTAAATGCAAGGAGCACCCGTGAGCTCCCGTAGAGGTTACCCCGATTCACCCGTGAGCTCCCGTAGAGGTTACCCCGATTCACCCTAATCGCTGAAGTGACTCCCCTTCCCTTTGCACAGACAACACGCGCATGTAGTAAGTAATTAAGAAGGCTGCTGAATCAGATTTCCGTGACTGCCTTGGCTCCCTCAGGCACCACTCCATTACCCTGCAGTAAAAAATAGCCTGGCTCTTAAGTGCAATTTACACCCTCTCGGTATCTTCTTTCCTTAAAGCAGTAAAAATTACATCTAAATTTAACAGCTTCTCAAATGAAAGGTCCAGCGTCACACTGATAAGGTTGTTTCTTCCGATTCTAATATTCAAAATCTGAAGAGAAGGAAAAACTGTAATTGCATGTACTGTTCAGTAAGGATTGTCTTTTCAGAGCGGAAGGGTCAGATTCAGACTGTCCTTTCTTGTTAAATTGATGAGAGCTGGGATCTAGGGTTGTGCTCTGACTCATCTCTCTCCGCTTAGTGAATGGATAACCTTGTTAAATTGGAAGAACATAATCCCAGTCATCTGAGACTCGCAGTGCGTGTAACAACTAACTACACACATGATTTTCATCAGAGCCAAACCTCCCAATGCTGCAAACATGAAATCCATCCTAAATAGGATTTGCATCCATGTCTTGTTAAGAAAAGCGTATTTTCTTTCCATTCTTATTACACAGACATAAACAGTAATATTTCACTGGGAATATCACAGCAAAATTACTGTGAATGGTGGAACACAGAGTAAATTTTGTAACAGTTCATTGACTTTTTGGAGGAAAGAAAATAATTTAGTATGTCTGCATGGCAGCGCTCACGGGAACAAACTGTCAGTAACAGAGCAACTGTACTGGAGGTCAGTCACTCCATCTACATTCTTTAGACTTCTCTTACAAAGTTTCTTCTGGACCTGGGGTGCATAAAACATTAGGGCCAGCACAGCAGTTACAAAGCCTGCAGAATGTGCTGCTGGGGGTGAATGCTTCGTCAACGTGCATCTAAAGCCTTGTGGACCACCACCGCTGTGTTTCTGAAGGGAGCGAGGAGGCAGATTCAATTCGATTGTGCCACCATGCAAGCTTTTAATTCATAAAGAGATGAGGCCTTTTATTATCACCCATCAAATTTAAAGAGTCAGGAGCTTTAATTATATTAGGCAATCACGTTGGTGGCAACGCTTGTGCGAAAACAAGTTTCTGTGCTAATGAGGCAACATGAAGAGAATGTAAAGAGGGTGCTCCCAAGATTGACAAGAGCTTCACGCAGGATTTTTTCTCAGGCTTCGCACAGCCCATGCACAAACGGAAGCACTCCGCTGCCAGACAGCATCTCGCACCTTGCCAGCTGGTATTTTGGAACAACGCTCATGCCTACTATTGGGGTTAGAACAAAAAAAAAAAAAAAAAACAAAACCCAAGCATGAAGATACAGTTCTTTTGTACTAAATCGCTGCCGAGACAAGCCTGCGTTTGTGGCTGTTGGCAGGCGGGACTGTGGCACTGCTGGAGGTACCGCGGGGACATGGACATGGGCGGGCGCAGAGGGGAGCGCAGCACGGCGATGCTGGGCCCTGGTAAGTGTGGGATACAGAATTACAGAACCCCAGACTGGTGGGGT